CTAGCTGGGGGGGGGGAGGGCACAACATAAAATTAAAAAAGACCCTCACAGAATTGCCTTACCAAAGGAGAAAAGCCACCACCAGTACCCGCGAAATTAAACAGAATGGGGCGGGGGGGGCCCACAGGTGCGGGCGCGCATGCACGCACAACCCCCCCCCCACGGAGGTCCGGCAACCTTCCTCTGAGGGCCCCCCCCAAAAAAAAGGTGCACTCAGCAGCAGGAGCTACCCCCACCCCGACAGAGGAGCAAACTTTGCAAGGCAAGCCCAGGCAGCCTCCAGAGCTGAGGTGGCTGAAGCAGGATGACGAGGAGGAGGGGGGGAAGCATCACCGGGTGCTGAGGTGGCCACTGGCCGGGCTGGTGCTGGGGGTGCCGAGAGAGAAAGAGAGCCAGAGAGCTGCTTCCCTGGAAGAGGCGGCAGCGGCACTGTTGGAGGCACTCTTCGAGAACGGGCCCGGAGCGAGCTCTGCTCTCAGGCATCACATGGCGGCGGCTCAGGCGCTCGGGGAAAAGGGCCGGCAGCACGCCTCACTCGCCGGCTCTCCCCCAAGACAGCGCCTCTTGCATCCTCCATCCGGAACTGCAGCCTGCTGCTGCAGTTCCGGATGGAGGGTGCAAGAGGCGCTGTCTTGGGAGAGAGCCGGCGAGCGAGGCGAGGCTTTTTTTTAACTTTTGACAGCCGAGGATGCGTGGGCACTTCAGGGGGGCAGGCAAGGCGGGGGCCGCAAACTATCGTCCGGGGGGCCACAAATGGCCCCCGGGCCGCATGTTTGAGACTCCTGCTCTACAGCGTCTGTCAGCTTTCCTGCTGCTTGCCCCCATCACTTTCCTTTCGTTCACATTCCCTCTAGCTTCCCCTTTGCTGTGTTAACCTGATTCCTCTCCTTTCTCTTCTTCTCTTTCTCCTCTCCCTTCTACTGCAGCTCCATTGTGAAGGTGCCTTACTACTGTAAGCAGTATAGTGGTATGAATTCTGTTGACTTCCAATTCACATATATTTTTGACATCTACAGGAAGTAGAGTGAGTGAGTCTTAAGATATTTTGCCCCTCACTTGTCTCTATCAACTTGGGAGGATGTTGCTAACTGGCCACATGTTCAATTGTCCCTCAACCAGCTGTGGAGGATATAACAGGGAAGAAGTGGAGGAAAGAAATGAACAATGGTATTTCATTCTGGTTCTGCATAATTTAAGTGAATTGATTAGAACCTGGGGAGGAAGGAATGCAAACTAATGTTAAGATCAGCTTTTTATGATTTATTATAATAAATGTATTAGTGCGTGTTCTACTGCATTTAGCTGAGAAAGGGGAAGTAAACCTTTAGTTGTTGCTATATCTTTTTAATAATTTAAATTAAAATACTGTACATTAGTTGATTTACTCAGTTCATTTTATTATAGCCACCTCTTTTATTAGGTTTTAAAATGGCATATTTGGTGTAAAAAATCAATAAAGCTACCAAAATAGATTAAAATCGGTTGTTTTTAAATGATTTTTAAAATCAGATTTTTCAAAACATTGAAAATGCAGATACCACTGTTCTGTCTAAAAACTAGATGTATAGTAAATAATCTGAGCAATTTCCCCCTCAGAGTGAATGGCAAACTCATCACATGAGCTGATGAGCAGTCTGGGACCTCCACCGGATTTCCCGGTTGAAGGAGATCCCGGACCACTCGAAATAGCTCTGCTGGACAACATTTTGTGAAAGCAATATAGATGGTGAAATATTGCCATTTCGCCAGCTGTATTACCATGGAATAGGTCCAGTAATGGTCTCTAAGTCGTGTTTGATCGGACTCCCAGCAAGATTTCCTCCACCTGCGCTCCAGCCGTCTCCCCTCTCACTTCATCGCCCGCAGTTCAGAAGTATACCAAGGAGCTGTCTGGGCTCTCTGTGCAGGGAGAGGGCGCTTAGGTGCAATTCTGCCAACCGCCCGGGTCATCTCCCTATTCCATAGGGAGACCTGGGCTTTGACAGGAGTGCCGACCATATCAGATGGATAATCCCCCAGAGAATTCAGGAAACCATCTGGATCCATTAGTCTCTGAGAGTGGCTCATCTTAATAGATCCCCCACCCTTGCAGAGGAGAGAACAAGCTAATAGACTAAACTTGAACAGGAAGTGGTCTGACCATGGAATCACAAGCAGCTCCTACACATCCAAACCACCATTTTCCAGTCCCGTTGAGAAAACCAGGTCCAAAGTATGGCCCTTCTCATGTGTGATGACACATTGAGATAGCCCCATGCTTGTCATGGCAGCCACGAAGTCCTGAGCCACTCCAATCAAGGCAGCTTCAGCATGGATGTTGAGGTCCCCCAGCACCAACAGCCCGGGAGTCTTCAACACCAGGTCTGAGACTATCTCCATCAGCTCAGGCAAGGAGACCGTTGGTACGCAGGAGGGTGGGCAGTACACCAACAGAATTCCCAGTTCGTAAGCCCGACACACAATACAGGGCCTCAAGATGTCCTCTCGAAGTAATAGGAAGCCTGGTCAAGGAGATTGAACTCCTATAGACTATAGCAACTCCCCTTTCCCAACCCTCCGAGTGACATTAGTTCTTGTGAGAGGAGGCTAAGCCAAGGCAGAAAGAAGAGAACAGCATTACCCAGTGTACATATTCCTGTTCCTCAACATAAAATGAATGTTTATATTTATTCACTGAGTGTACTGTACATGTTAATGTACACTCTACCATTCTTCCACTGACCTCAGGGCTCCTCCCCTATTTTATCCTCACAACAACTCCATGTAACTAGTCTGAAGTAGGTTTCATTGAATTCAGAGCACTTACTCTTAGGCAAGCATGGAAGGATCTGCAGGTTCACAACACACCATATACCTATTTGCCTAAATATTTCCATAAATATTTGTAGGATCATACCTTAAACCTTGCAGAGTGTCATAGGTTTTGGTTGGAAGAAAGCTTCTCTGTATAGGAATACAGGTATTTGCTATGTATGAGGAAAAAGAAAAGTGTGCAAAATTTATATTGTGCATGTCCTTCGGTGCATATTAATAAGGGTCTATTCAAAGTCCCTTTTTTGGCCAATGCTCCTTCCACCGCAGCCCATTTTCCTGCTGAAAGCCTATTTCAGGCAGTTTCCTATTCCAGTTTTGAGAGAGAGAGAGAGAGAGAGAGAGAGTAGCTGCAGAAGAGAGGAAACTTCACAACCCTTCCATTTGTCTCAGTCAACCCCCGTTCTTTGAGCCAATGATAGTATTAACTACTGCTTTAGTAGTCACATTTGTACTATGCTTCAGCAAAATACAGATGTTATTAAGAGAAACTTGATTTAAATCAGCCCTTTTTCTTGCTGCTTTTAATCACTGATTTATATTGCCATAATTTAAATCTACCTTCTCCTCTTGAGTGTTTCCATATTACCATGAAAGATCAGTACAGGCAAGGACCCCTCTGTGGTGCGCAGTTGCATGCATACGACTCTGCCTCCCTCTGCACAGCTTTCCTCCTCTTCCACGCAGCCCTTTTGGTTTTGCTTGCGATGGAACCCCGTGTGCAGCACAGACAGGGGAGAGGTTGCACATACGAGAGGCATAGCCCTGCCAAGTGTGGCTGAAAATTAGAAGGCAGGTATAAAGAATACTTACTGGACAAAACATCATAGGAAATTTTTTGACCCCTCAAAATTCTGTCCCTTGCTTCTGGGCAAGAATGAAACAAGTGTCATTTTTTGGTAATTTGTCTGCAGTTCATCTTCATTTTCTGTGGAAACTCTAGTTATCAGTGGAACTCTAGTTCTCACTTTGCAAAACACACAGCAAGAATAGAGTGAGTGGCTCATTTTTAAAAAAATGCAGACAGCCCCTCTAATGATTTTAACCCTTAAATATCCATGCATTAAAATAGGATCTGTCATCCCCCTGTGTCGTTTGTATTAAAGCATTATTTGCACAGTTTTGCTTGTTTAAGATATGTTATCCTTTCTCTTCTCGAGAGCACCACAAAATAAATTGCCATATCTTTATTTGCAAAAATTAGACTTTGCTCATGTTTATATGTTCATATTAAGATTGAGATATTTCCTGTATCTTTTTAAATTTATTTATTTAAAATATTTTGATCACACCATTCTTCTTAAAAAAGACCCAAGGCGACTTACTTCATTAAAAGGACAATATTCGAAAGCTAAAAACAGTGAATATACAAATATTAAAAAGAAATTAAACAAGTATTATGTTAAAAGTGGTAAATAAAATCAATATTTAAAACTATAGAGCACAGGAATCCATTTAAAAATATGTCTCAGAGTTAAGCGAGGCACCACTGTATTATGTTAAAAGTAGTAAATAAAATCAATACTAAACACATTTAAAACCATAGAGCACAGGAATCCATTTAAAAATATGTCTCAGACCATCAGCCATTAAGGATAAACAAACCTCAGGGACACCACAGGCCAATGGTCAGTGTTTAAGAGGAGTCCCCCAACATCACCTTCTGAGTTCTCCCCCCCCCCAGAAGGACTGGAGCCAATGTAAAACAGTGCCTCCAGTTCCCATCCCAGAGAGACGGCCCAGAAGGGAATGATGGTCAATGGAATTGAAAGCTGCTGAGAGGTCCAGCAGAACCAGCAGAAACACACTCCCCCTGTCTGGTCCCTGACATAGTTCATATCTTCTCAAACTTTACTAAATGGTTTTACTGCAACATCTCCTTTGTATAACAGAGGCTTGGAAACTGATTTTTAAAGTGCATGTAAAGCAAGGTAAAGTGAGGCTTTGTCTTTGAGAGAAATAATAATCTTTTGAATATGTACAAGTCTGTAGTTGTTCTTTCCAATTGTAAAGAAGAATTAGACTTTAAATCTTTTGGGATTTTCAGATGTGGCCATCGCAATCCCCATAAAGGTACCTGTATTTTACAAAAGCTAATAGGCAGAAATATCCTTCCTTTTGCTTGAATAAATGTCCTTGGGGTTTTTGGTTCATTCAAGTGCACTCAATATCCTCTTGTCTTCCCATAGCATCAGATAATAGCCAGCGATTTCGGGAAACTTGCTTTGCATTTGCCCTGACTCCACAGCAAGTGCAGCAGATTAGCAGTTCAATGTAAGTGGTTGTGCTCTTACTGCTTTTTAATGCAAAGCTGCTGATTCTAACATGTGTTAAACACTTTTAGAAGTACATGACTGAAATCAGATCCATGTACATTCTGTGACATAAGACTGATGATGTTATCAGTCAGGGCAGTTTTTCAGAAATTAAGCATTTCTTCATTCCATCCCCTGTGCACAGTAGAAAGTCTTTAAATACCAAAAATTGTCACGAAAAAGTTACCATGGTGATTTTTGGTAGTTAAAGACTTCCATCCCACAGGTTCCCAACATGAAAGGGGTTACTCTGGACCCCTGGGGGATTAGGGTGGGAGGAGGAAATGTTTAATTTCTGCAGAATTGCCTTGTCTGAGGCATTCATCAGTCTTATGTCTTAGAACCTTATCAAACTGGATTTCAGCCGTTGTGTAATTTGGGGATTGAATAGTCTGTGTGGCAAGTAGAGGTGTGGGGAGAGAGGTGAGAAAAGTCAGTTTGCAATAGTAATATGGCAGTAGCTATCAGGAGATTTTATTCTCTTGGTGAATCAGTAGGAATTTGGAAATGAGTGTTTGTATCCTTAGTTGATTTATACTGTCCCCTTAGAATGAATCAACATTAGCATAAAAGAATTTAAGACAATCAATTTGAAAACAGTATAAAACAATCAACAGACATTAAAGTTGATGTAAATAGCCAGAGAAAATAAAAAGGCCATCCTTCTAGTGTTGAAATGACACCAAAGTAGATGCCAAGTGACTATTGTAAAGTACATAGATTCAAAGCTGTTGCTTGTGCTATCCCTTTTCTCCTGAAGTAGCCCACCAGATTTAGTTGTTCTCGGATGTCCAGAGTTAATTAATGAGAGCTAGCCTGTAACTGATGCTTTATGGTAGGGGTGGGTGGAAGATTTAACTATAGAGGTTTTGGGTTTCAGCTCTTATAATTCATGTTGGACTGTCCAAAACATCTGGAGATATGTCTTTTGTCTATTATTGTTTAGTAGAATTGTTGTTATATGTGGCATTTCTGTCATTGGACATTGGAATGGGTAGAAATCCTGATAAACGATATTACAATCTTTAATGCGTTTGTCTGAAAAAGTATGCTAGCATAGACAGGTTATGACATGCTCAGTGTTTTAAAGCTTAAATATTCAATTCTTATGTTTGTTTATTTTAATGTGACATCTTCAAATGTTTTTGCTAGGGATATTTCTGGAACCAAATGTGACTTCACTGTGCAGGTCCAGCTAAGGTACTGTTTTATTATAATCTAATATCAGTATTAGTTAAGTACCACCCCATTTGTGTGACAAGAAAGATGGCATTCCAGCCTACACAAATTATGCAAAGTAGAACAATATATACACCTCTGTCTAACTTTTATTGAGTTTCCTCTAACTATGGGAAGAAGTAAGGTGGAATTCTAGGCACTGGAAGTTAACTATTCCCTTTTTTATTTCCCATCATCACCTTCATCGGACCTGCACTAAGATAGAGAAAGAGATGAAGTGAAAGAAACTTTTCAGTGTTTCACAGGTTGCCATCGCTTGCTTGTGGCAGCAGAATTGGCTATTCTTTTGATTATGTTGTCATTATCTGCTAAAGGAGGAAGGTGTGTGTTTGTATTTGCCTGTATCCATAGAGTAGAGGACATATGCCAATGAGTGCGTTCAATGTAGCCCTCTGGCCTTTTTAAAATTAGTAAGGAGGCCTAAAGCCCTTGGAATTTGGAAACCTATTTGAGGCCTAAAGCCCTTGGAATTAAACCCTGTTCTGCCTCCTCGACATTATTAAATGAATAGTGTCTGAGATCGTTCATTATCTTTCGATTTAGTACTTCATTAACTTTTAATTCACTTTTGTTTTCCCTGTTACCTTTTCTTCCCTATTCCTACTGCAAATCAGTGTTCACAGTCACAGGATTTCAGAAAAGCAAATATAGGATTCCTCCCACCTTGCAGTACTTATTACTCAACTTATTTTTATTAGCATAGAAATAGCAGCTTCAAAATTCATGTACATCTTTCAGATTAAATTTAAATGAAATTTAAATTTACTCTAAAATTAAATGCAAATGTTTGAAAAGGAATAAACTTAAGCATCCACCCTTCTCCAAGTTTGCCAACTGTGGATTTACCTATGGAAGTGTAGTAAAGGTTTCATATGGCATATACTCACCTTTGTTCTGCTAATGAATATTTGTAACGGAAGAGTGGAAAGTAGCATTGATTCCCCAGTCCCTGAAATTCTGCAAGTACTCTCATGTCGCTTGAAGGCAGACCATTCTGATATCTTGGGCACGTAACATAGATCTAAAGAGTGAGATGCCCTGTGGCACAGGAGTTAAACTGCAGTACTGCAATCAAGCCTGTGCTGATTACCTGAGTTCACCCCAAGTAGCTAGCTCAAGGTTGACTCAGCTGTCCATCATTCTAAGTTTGGTAAAATGAACACCCAGCTTGTTGGGGGTGGGGGAGCAAATTGCTGTTTGCATAATTTTGTAGGAAACTACCCAGAGAGTGCTTTACCACTATGGAATGATATATAAATCAAAACAACAACAAAGATGCATGTAACTAGGGTGTGGCTAACTTGAACCTAGAAAATCTTACTGCGGGTGTTTGTAATAATTAACTGCTGCTGCAGATACTGAAATAGACGTGAGAACAGTGAGAAAGACCATAACTGGTTGTCATGTGAGGCAGTTTTGACAAGGCAAAACTGTGGGTGGAAGAGGCTAAAGCCTTAGCCATAGTTAGAGAATGTTTGAAAATCTGTGACATAGTTTACAAACCATGGATTAAAGTCTTTCCACAAACATCTCACTTTCCTGCTTGTGGAGATATGTTTCAAATAAGCAGTCTCACTGAAGCAGTCATATTTTGGAGACATGGGGCTCATTTGGAGTGAGAATTGGGAGAATATTTGAGCCTGTGTGTCCTCAGTTTTAATTTACTCCCTTAGCACAACACCATATTTATTTATTTGTTTGTTTGTTTGTTTATTGGACTTATATACTGCCCCATAGCGCTACAAGCACTCTCCGGGCGGTTTACAGTTTAATTATACAGGCTACACATTGCCCCCCCAGCAAGCTGGGTAGTCATTTTACCGACCTCGGAAGGATGGAAGGCTGAGTCAACCTTGAGCCGGCTACCTGGGATTTGAACCCCAGGTCGTGAGCACAGTTTTAGCTGCAGTACAGCGTTTTTGTGATGACTGTAAAAACCACATCTCTTTCATTTGAAGTTCTTAAAGTGCTTGTCATGTACAGTATTACTACGGAAACATAGTGCAAAACAAAAAAGTACAGATTATTGCAGCTTATGATTCAAGGTAAAATAAATGGAAAAAGCAGTGCAAGGAGCAAAAATGGTGAGACTGGTTTGCAACACAACTTCATTGTTTAGAACTTTAGTTTCCAAAGTCAAAATAGCCATTATGTTATCTATCCTATACTGAAGAGGAGGAAGAAGTTTATGGATTTAAAATTCCAAAAACATCACCAGTTTTATCTTTTATTTAGGTTTTGCTTATCTGAAACCAGTTGCCCACAGGAAGATCACTTCCCACCAAATCTTTGTGTGAAAGTTAATGGAAAGCCATGTAGCCTTCCCGTGAGTATCTCTAGAAATTTGATTATTTTGTTGTTTCCTCTTAAAAAATGGTGCATGTCAACACAGTTAGTGTTATGAATTGAACAGATCTGATCAGTACCTTGTGGGAGTCTTAATTGTTCATAGATGGGACAGGTGGCATACATTACTGAGTTTTATTGTTGTTTCCATTTGCAATTTTTCAGGTGTTACCTACTCAAGTGCTGCCTATAATGTTTGGATTTGAAAACTTGAAAAGAGCAAGAATGCAAAATCCTAAGGTTTTGGCATTATTTTCCTATTATTCTGCCTCTGAGAGGACTTAAGAGGATTATAATGCCTTTCTACCCATCATGAGGGACAAGGTAGCAAGGGAGATAGAGCAGAATGGCTCTATCTCTCTTGAGAGCAAGGGAGATAGAGCAGAATTGGCCAGATATAATCATCTCAGGCTTTGTTCATCATTGGTAAAAGGAGCACCATGACCTACTCTGAAAATCTGTGGTGAGCACAAACAAATAATAAAATAACTTAAACTGTTCATTGCCTTCACAGTGGTGATTTATGTGTGTTATTTTAGGGATATCTTCCACCAACTAAAAACGGGGTTGAACCAAAGCGACCTAGTAGACCAATCAACATCACCTCACTTGTGCGGCTGTCCACAACAGTACCAAACACGATCGTTGTCTCATGGACTGCAGAAATAGGAAGAGTGAGTAATAGTTTACTATTAAATGGGTAGTGGTGGGAATAATTAGGTGTAATAATTAGATGGGCTGTAGAAATAATGTGGGCATATTTTATGTTCATGAAATTTATTTCTTGTTTAGCTTTTGCATTCTCCCCTAAGCCATATCCATATTATGTGCCCTTTCACAGTTCTTCAAAAATTTAAAATCAGATTTCATGCTCTAAAGTACCAAGACAAAGCCTGTACAAAAATTATAGCATGCCACAGAAGGAACTCAATAAAATCATAAAATCCTGATAACTATTTTATCTGAATGTTAGGCATTTGCAACACTATATGGCTGAAATCCAGTAATGTAAAATTATACTGCACAAGTCTGATGATGCCATCAACTGCAGATGTAGTTTGATAATTTTTAAAAAATTCCTGTCTCACCCACCCACCCACTGGCACCACCAATGTTTCTATGCTCTTTTAGTCTTGGGAAGCCTTTGGGGGAAGTGGGACAGGAGGAAGTTTTAAATGTCTGAAATTCACTGCTGCCAGTCCTAGTGGCCACAGCAGGATCAGCAGCCAAGAGTTTTGACATTTAAAATCCTCATTCCCACTCTTTGTGACCCCATGGACCAGAGCACGCCAGGCCCTCCTGTTTTCCACTGCCTCCCGGAGTTGGGTCAAATTCATGTTGGTAGCTTTGATGACACTGTCCAACCATCTCATCCACTGTCGTCCCCTTCTCCTCCTGCCTTCACACTTTCCCAACATCAGGGTCTTTTCCAGGCAGTCTTCTCATGAGATGGCCAAAGTATTGAAGCCTCAGCTTCAGGATCTCTCCTTCTAGGGAGCACTCAGGGTTGATTTCCTTTAGAACTGATAGGTTTGTTCGCCTTGCAGTCCAGGGGACTCTCAAGAGTCATCTCCAGTACTACAATTCAGAAGCATCAATTCTTTGGCGGTCAGCCTTCTTTATGGTCCAGCTCTCACTTCCATAAATCACTACAGACAAAAACATAGCTTTGACTTTGCGCACCTTTGTCAGCAAGGTGATGTCTCTGCTTTTTAAGATGCTGTCTAGGTTTGTCATCGCTTTCCTCCCAAGAAGCAGGCGTCTTTTAATTTTGTGGCTGCTGTCCCAATCTGCAGTGATCATGGAGCCCAATAAAATAAAATCTGTCACTGCCTCCGTATCTTCCCCTTCTATTTGCGAGGAAGTGATGGGATCAGTGGCCATGATCTTGATTTTTTTTTTTTTTTTTTTTTTGAGCTTCAGACCATTTTTTGGCATCTTTATTAATTACCAAAATAGGTCTATATGTACCAGTATCCATCAGATCCTTACTTGGTTTTGGAATTAACACTATTAATGAGTATTCCATGATGAAAGGATTTTTCCCTCTTCCATTATATTATTAAGCAGACATTTCTATTTTGGTATTAACCTCTTTTTAAAAGTTCTATAATATTTTAGTCCCAGTTTATCTCTGGACTCTTTCCTATGTTTAATTTTTTTTAATAACCAATTTCCATCTCATCATCTTTAACCTACTGTTCCATCAAATCTTTATTTGCTTCTTACAATTTATTCCCTACATTTTCTCTATATATTTTTTCCTTTGTCTAAAGATAATTTCCCATCCTTATATAATTTATTTTAACATTTATGTGAAAATAGACGTTGTCTAGAGGGTTAAATTAGCAGGGTGATTTGATAGAAATCATAAGGTCAACAGATTGTCATGTAATACTTTGGTTAATGCCATTACCTACTGTGGTGTTCACCCTTGTGGCACCAAACAAACAAACAAACAAATAAATAAATAAATAAATAAATAAATAAATAAATAAATAAATAAATAAATAAATAAATATTCTAATTTTTTCTTGTTAAATTACATGCTGGCCCCCAGGAATTTAATGCAGACCATATGTAGCTTAGTGTAAAGAATTTGCACAACACTTTGCAAGCAAAATTGCTGAGATCCACTCCGACTTGGGTGTTGTAGTTGATTCAGTTCCTGTGAATATAATTATGGCCCCTGCTTGCCCAGTGTTAATGAATAAATTTCAGTTTCTGCAACCTGATGATGTGGTCAGGACCCTTGGGGAGGCGATGACTACCACTTGTCTCCTGGATCCTTGCCCTTTCTGGCTGATAAAAGCTGCAGTAAGGGATGGGTTGATTGGATAGAGGAGTGGTGGCGAACACTTAATTGCAACAGGGTAGGATCCCAACATGTTTAAAGGAGATATTAGTAAAAACCGTTGTTTAAAAAGCCTCCCAGCTCCAGAGGTTCCTGAATGAGACAGAGTATTTAGATCCATTTCAATCTGGCCTGGTTATGGGATAGAGACTGCTTTGGTCAGCTTGGTTGATGAGCTATGCTGAGAACTGTATAAGTCTATCTCCCTGTTGGTTTTGCTGTACCTCTCAGCAGCTTTCGATACTATCGACTGAGTATCCTTCTGACCCATCTCTCTGGAATGGGACTTTGGGGCACTGTTTTACAGTGAGAAGGTGATGCTGGGGGATTCCTGTTCGACACCCTGGCTGCTGACCTATGGGGACCTTCAGGGTACAGTTTTGTCTTCTATGTTATTCTATGTTATCGTAGCATGAAACTGCTAGGAGGTATTGTCTGGAGTTTTGGGATTTGCTGTCACCAGTATGCCAATGAAACCCAACTCCACCTCTCCTTTCCACCTAAATCTGAGGAAGCTGTTTCAGCTCTAAGTCAGTCTTTGGTATCAGTAATGGACTGAATGAAGGTGAATAAACTGAAAGTGAATCCAGACAAAACAGAGGTGCTTTTGGTCAGACAAAAGGCATAAGGATGAGCCTATACTGGATAGGGTTCCATTCCCTCTGAAAACAGAGGTGCACAGCATTGGGGGGGGGGCTCTTGGATTCCTCTCTGAGCCTAGATGCCCAGGTTTCAATGGTTCCCAGAGAGTATACAATTAAAACAAGTGTGCCAGCTATGCCTGTTGCTTGAGAGATTTGATCTGGCTGCTTGTGACACACATCCTAGTTACTTCCCAGATGGATTACTGTAATATGCTCTATGTCTGTCTGCTGATGGAAAGTGTGAGGAAACTTCAGCCAGTCCAAAATGCAGCAGCCACATTGCTGACTGGGGCTGGTTACAGGGATCACATAACCCTTCTATTAGAGCAGCTCCTGGGCACAATTCAAAGTGCTGGTTTTAGCCCTAAATGGCCTGGGCCCAAGCTATCTCAAAGACTATAAACCACCTCAGGTGTTAAGATAGTCAAGAGGGCCTTTCTCTCAGTCCCATCACTTTCACAGGTACATCTAATGGGAACATAGGAGAGGGTCTTTTCTGTTGCTGCTCCCAAACTTTGGAACTCCCTCCCACACAAGGCCAGATTGGTCCCATCCTTGCTGTCCTTCTGCAAGCAGGCAAAGACCTTTCTCTTCAGGCAAGCTTTCCCTTAGTGACTGGCTTTGACTGGGTTTTTATGTCATTATGTCAGAGTGGTATTTGCTCCTTTTAAATATTTGTACACTTACTATTTTTAGCTTTAATACTGTCTTTTAATGATGTAAACTGCCTGTTTATACTCATTGTTCTTAGGTTTAAACATTGTCTTTTAACGATGTAAACCGCTGTTGTATATTCATTGCTTTGCAGCTTAAAATATTGTCTTTCAATTATGTAAGCTGCCTTGCATCCTTTTTAAGGAAAAGAGCAAGGTAAAAATATTTTAGAAAAATAAGAAAGAAATAGTTAAATCCCATTTTTATTAGTTTCATCTTTAATTACGCCTATTAAATTCTTAACTTTTTTTTGACTGGCTTTAGCTAACATCTTTAATTTTTAATTACT